GTACTAACTTTTACTTGTCCCCTCACTGGAGAAGACTAAGCTCACTTCAGCTTATCTGTGTATTTTGAAGTCTGAAAGACTAGTCAGTCAGTTCACTAAGAATTTATTGAGCACTGGCCTAAGCTCCATCATGGATCCATCAGGGAAAAATAATGACACAACCGCCGTGTCTTTAATGTGCTTGCTTACACTCTAATCAAGGAGGGGAAAATGAATACATAGGAATTTATCCAGTATATCAAAATATAAGCACCAACTTATGTGAAAATAATAATGGCTACTATTTATCAGGAGTGTCATGTGCCAGCTGGTCTAGGTGCTCTATCCATATTGTTTCTTTACTGCCCAGAGGTGAGCGAAGGCTTCTTGAGGAAATGGAACTTGAGCAGGATCCTGAAAGGAAGTAGACTGTAGTGTAGACAGTCTGATGGGGACAAGAGAAGGCACTTCAAATGGGTAGAGCAACATGTGCATAGGGTAGAGAAAGGAAATGATACCACTGTCTTATTCAAGGCTCACTGTGTATCAAACACTCCTTCTCATTTTAACTGACAACACCAGAATGCGTAGAGTCATCTCCATCTTGTGGATAAAGACCCAGAAGCTCAAGTAATGGACTCAATGCCACACACTTACCAGGTGAAGGATGAGGCAGTTACACTCTGACCTACTTTGTTGCCAAGTCCTGTGGGAGAGTTTGGAGGCCACTGTGTCCATGGGGTGTTTACACTGAACAGAGTGGGTTGAAGTCAGAGCCCTCTCAGTGTAGACTGGTCAACACTGTTGAGTCGATTGAAGCTGCAGCCGGACCCCAGACCTTTTGACACTCAGGCCTGGGTTCTGTCTCTAGGATCTCTCTGGGCTCAGCTTCGCACCTTTCTGGAACATTCATTTTGGAAGGCAAGGCCTGAGAAGGAACGAAGAGGTTATTATTAATTACCCCCTTATACCACCATGGTCTGTTGGATGGTGGCCATGATAACAAGAGACTGGGGTTTCTGTGCTAAGGGTTTGAATATACTCTTTGGCTTTCTGTGAGTTTCCCTTGGTCATTAGAAGAAGGCTAACAATGAGAAGCTGCACCAGCTCCTATATAAACTAGCCTTCCAGATCACTTGTGCTGTGGCAACTTCTGACAGCTCTCAGAAGTCTGAGGACGTGTCTCCTGGCACCCTCCGTCCTCCTGCCTTCTACACTTTATAATACACTCATTATAAAGTCATTTACACAAGTTTTATGTTTTCGTGTACAACAAGCAAAGAATCACAGAGAACTTTTTTGTTTTGTTTTGTTAATCCTCACCTGAGGGTTTTTTAAAATTTATTTTTAGATAGAATGGAAGGGAGGGAGAGGGAGAAACATTGATGTGAGAAAGACACATTGATTGGTTGCCTCCCACACAACCCCGACCAGAGCTGGGGATCAAACCTGCAACCCCGGTACATACCCTGGGAATCGAACCCTCAACCCTTTGGTTTGAGGGCTGATGCTCTAACCTTTGGGCAAAACCATCCAGGGCAGAGACTTTTTGTTGTTGTTGCTTTTGTTAATCCTCATCTGAGGATATTTTTTCTATTGATTTTTAGAGTGGAAGGGAGTGGGGGAGGGAGGGAAGAAAGGAGAAAGAGGCATCGATGTGAGAGGCACCTGCAACCCAGGTCCTTGAGAGCCCTTGACCAGGAATCAAACCTGCGACCCTTCGGTTCCCGGGTGATGCTCTGTTTACTGAACCAGACCAGCCAAGGCTCACAGAGGCTCTTAATGACCTTTGTAATGAACTTCATCCAACACAGATAACACTGTTGGCTCCTATCTCCATTTCTCAAAATACAAACCAATTTATTTATTTATTTATTTATTTATTTATTTATTTATTTATTAAATATGTTTTCATTGATTTTTTTTAGAGAGAGAGGAAGGGAGAGAGAGATAGAAACATCAATGTGAGAGAGAAACACCAATTGGCTGCCTCCTGCACCGCCCCTGCCCCCAACTGGGGATCGAGCCTGAAACCTGGACGTGTGCCCTGACCAGGAATCAAACCGGGACCTCTCAGTCCTTGGGATGATGCTCAATCCACTGAGCCACACCAGTTGGGCTACAAACCAATTTGAAATTTTGTCGCAAATGAAGAGTCCACTTACTAGAAGTTGGATAGTGAGATGGTTTGGGCCAAGTCTAGGATTCCACAGAACTGAGCTGAGGCTGGGGGTTCCAGGTCCAATAAAGAGAGTCATCCAGCCCTGGCCAGTTTGGCTCAGCAGTATTTCCGTAAGAAAATACATTTGTGTTGTTTTAAGCCACTAAGTTTGTGGCAGTTTGTTATAACAGCCATAGAAAACTAACACACTTTTCTGTGAATTGAAGTTAAAATAGGTGCACATTTAAAAATATCTTGGTTTAAACTCTGAGTCATTCTGAAGTAACAAGCCATTAGTATCTTCTGCTACACTATTGCTTATAAGCCTGTCTATCAAAACATCACATGCTGAGTGGATGCTCTCAGCAGTGCTACCTCATTTTACAGCTTGGCCCGTCAGTCTTCTCTCACTTGTAGAACTCTGTCTTCCACAGTGTGAGTTTCTGTGGAGGTCCCACCAGTCTGGAAACAAGCATCCACAATGGCATGTGAGAGCTGCTATTGATGAAGTTACCATAGAACTGGGCAAAAGTGTGAATCTGAATGCTGATGAAAGTGAAACTTGAAACCAAGTACAGATCAGGTTGAGAACAGACAGAAGAATTCAGAAGTTCATGATCTAGAGGATAGAACATTTTGTGAGATGTAATTTAGTCTGTACATCGACTGAAGAAATGGTGTTCTTTTGGCACATTTCCTGGGTGGACTTCTACCCAAATACACTTGTACAACTGTACTAATTGGTTCAATAGATGAGTTGTATGGTATGTGAATTATGTCTCAATAGAGCTACTAAAAAAAGGTAGGCATGTAAGGTAACTGCGTGATGGCAAGTTAACCACAGCAACATTGGGATTTGATAAAAGCAACTTCTGAGAGTATCTTAGAGGTGTTGTAAGGATCTGTTTTCTGGAATTGGAGCTGTAAGATCAGAGATGCTGCCACCTCATTTCTGAAGCTTACAGTTTTTGACCGTCAGTCCTAGGGATTGCTGTGTTGAGCAGTGATTCAGTGGTCCTATCAGACAACTTCCGCTTGTGTTTAGAGACTTCCGTTTTCCCTTTTCTTCCTGGGCAGGGCCTTGTTCCTGCAGGGATCATGGTTAGTTTGGTGAATGAGTGGCCGTGGTACAGTTCCACTGCCAGGACAGCCACATGCACACTGGGAGGTATTGCCACAATCTTTCACATGTTTTTAAGTCCCATTCAGTACTACATAGCATTTATAAGGCTAATAATTATAAGGCTTATGATTGTTCTCAGTATGTATTTTCATAAAGTGAGAAAATGGTCTGACAGGACCTCTAGGATATCAGATGGGTAACAGTAGGATTTTGGTATGGTTTTGAAATCTTTTATTGGTGGATTTCTGTACCATCCTGTAGGCTGTGGCTCTTCCCCGGGTCATACTGAGCATGTGGCTCTTGGGGAGGTGCTTGCTATGGGTGCACAGAACACACAGTGTATTAGTGTAGCTTGCTTGATGATAGCAGGACCAGCTCCCAGTCTGGTGCTACCAAAGCCACACCAGGGGCAGCTGCTGTCCCTCATCAATGCTGAAGGCCCCCGTGGAGGTGACAGCAGCATAGTGGTTACCCCTTTGTGGCAGTCGGAGAGGCCAGGGCCAGAGCTGCTGTCTCTGCTGCTGCCAGTGCTGCAGCCTCAGGGCCCTCCACTTTTAGCCTGTCCCCCGTGGCTCCTTGCTGCTCCTTAGAGCACTAAGGAAAAGGGAAGAGTTAATTCTCAGGATCCAGGCAGACAGTTAATTACTCACAAAAATTTTACTGCTTGCCTTTTCTTCCATTAAAAATACCCCAATTGAGAGCATTGTGCTAGTTACTAGAGTAGAGGTTAAAGGGCATGAGAATAGACAAACTTACAATTTAACAAAGAAAAGGGAAAATAATCCTGTGACCCTATGGAAATAAGTCTTTGCTAGGTATGTACAATGGAGGAGTTACTTGTTTAGAGAGGCGGGGAAGAGCCCCTTGCAAAAGGAAGACTGTAGAGAGCATAGACCAGAGAAGCACAGCAGTGGGACAGTGGTCCAGCCCAGCTGAGGTGTCACGTGGCTGGGGTGGAGTCATGGGGGGATGGCTGGAAAGGCATGTTGGAGCCAAGCTTTGGAGGACTTTAAATTCCAGGAGTACCTGTGTGACACGGGTGTGCCCCCAGGAGTGTTATTGGATACCTGCTCAGGGCTGGACACTGCTAGGGGCTTAGTTTCATGACAGCCCTGAAAGTTGGACTTCCATATTCCCATTTTGGACATCAGGAAAATGAGTCAGACCAAGTGGTCTGCCCAAGGTGACAGAGCTAGTAAATGGCTGAGCTGGAATTGGAATGAGTTTGTCTTCCACCTATTTATACTAGGCTTGCATTCTTTCTGGAGAGACAAACATGAAAAAGAAGAGAAACATGAAACATTAGAGAATGTGGCAGTAACTATTAGGTTGAGCCATATGGAAGTGCCATTTGTGTAGGTCAGAATGGTCAAGGTTGCGATGTTACATGGTTCAACCTGGTATGACAGCATTCAGGGTTTGGAGGAATGAGAAATCTTTTGGGCAGGAATGGCAGCAGAGGTTTTGATTAGGAGATGGGAATGGAGTAAGGCCTTGATGTAGACTCCAGGTGGATAGGAATAAGGAGAGAGAAGGGCAGGGTGAGAGGCGGGGAGGATGGAGACCAGCCTGATGGGCTAGCAGGTGGCTTGGGAGTGTCTATCAGCAGGCCTCGGGAAACGGGGGAAAAATGCCATCCATACTTTGGGCCCTAAAGAGACAGTGTCGGATTTGACCCGGGTTTCTCTGTGTTTGGTCATTCGTTGCGCTGATCCTTCCCGTGTGCTCTTCCTGTAGGAAACAGGCGAGCAGATCGCTATCAAGCAGTGCCGGCAGGAGCTCAGCCCCCGGAATCGAGAGCGGTGGTGCCTGGAGATCCAGATCATGAGACGGTGAGGTCGGGGCACTGGCTCACTGAGCCCTTTGACAGAGCGGCCCCTTGGGGGAGAAGGGGAGGGTACCACTGGAGCTGAGGGGCCTTGGGACATTGAAAGAAAATCTGGAGGGAGCCAGCTGAACTTTGAGATCTGGAGCAACAGCCCTACCTGCTGTGTATCAGTCCCTTGGCAAGGGCTTTTGGTCAGTTTTATTTGTTATATTAAGGAATTTAAACTAGCCATCCCAGTGAATTTTCCTTTGTCAGCAAAAATTCTCCCCTTCCCCCCAGATCTCCAATTCCAATTGGCACGTGACTCTCTATGCTGTGAGCCTATTGCTGGCATTTATTCTTCCAGTGTGGAGACAGGGCCTGTCAGTCCCTAGATGGATCCTGTCCTCCCAGCAGCCTCATCAGCCTGGAAGACCTTAAACAGTTGCTCCCTCCACGAACCTCTTAAAAAGGGGAGGTGTCACCTTATCTGCATGCACACACCCAAACACACACACCGCTACATGCCATCGCCACTCGAATGGCATGAGATCGGAAGTCCCTTTACTTTCTGTGCTTTTAGAAGCAGTTTTGAAGTACAATGAGGACTTGATATGGGGCACTGAAAAGAAAATTAAGTTATATTGATGTACTCACAGAGTCCTTGAGTGCATGGTGCTGAAAGTAGAGCTGGGTGGATGCAGACTGACCAGGCACTGTGGTGAGTCACCGATTCCTACTTACTCCTAAGGCCCGTGGCTACTCTAGGCCTCTGTTAGATGGCGAGGTGAGCTCACTGAGACATGGACAGAGTGGGGAATGGATTTGAGCCAAAGCTTGGTTTCCTTCCTAATTGGTTTCTCCTCCTTCTTAGGCTGAACCACCCCAATGTGGTGGCTGCCCGGGATGTCCCCGAGGGGATGCAGAACTTGGCTCCCAACGACTTGCCCCTGCTGGCCATGGAGTACTGCCAAGGAGGAGATCTCCGAAAGGTGACGCTTCCAGGGTGGCAGGGCACAGCCTGCTGGGCGGGAGCAGTGGGGAGACCTTTCACCACTTTCATCATCAGGAAGCTCCAGGAGCCACGGTGACTTCACTAGGATTGTTTTTCCTTCTCAAATCCCCTGTCCATGCCCAGTGTGGGGATGTGAATCAAGAGACTGAATCAGAAGCTCTTACGAGAAAGTCAGGGAAGGGCTTGCTATACGTTCTGCACAGCGATTGCTAAAATGACAAGGAAATGATCACCAGGTCTTGAGTACAGGGAAAGACTGGACACATTCCAAAACAAATGTTCTTTCCCTTGGCATGTCAGGGCCACCTCAGTCTCTCATGACAGCGTCACCACTGTCCTTATTAGGAGGGATTTTCTCCCGCAGATGTGGCAGCAGTGCCCTCGGTCACAGAGGGGAGCAGGAAGGGGGCTGGCTCAGTAACCAGGGAACCCAGCTGGGGCTCCAGAGCCACCACTGACTCACCTTTGGAGCTCTGCTGTCTTTCTTCTCACCACATTAATTTCTCTTTTCTAGGACGTCCACTTCAGGGTAGGTGATGGCAGCCCTCCCTCATCTCAGGGACAGCGGTGTGTGTCCCCCTCCCTGCTGTTCTCCAGAACAGCATCACACAGCCTGCTTTTACACAGTGCCTCGTTTGATTTCCAACAACCCTGCGGTGTTGGTAAAACAGTTATGATTCCCATGTAAAGGGTGCATAGCACAGCCCAGAGAGGTCAGGTGGAATCCAACCCTCACACGCTGCGGTGGCGGCGCCACCTCTCTCTCCACCCGTGAAACTGAGTGTGCCCTCCAGCACGAGGAGAACCGAAAGCTCTGGCCAAAAGAGTTGTTGTTGTATGAAAAAGAGGTTTCTCTGTTAGGGCATATCTCCCTCAGCTCCTCACTCTAGAGGGATATTGGGGAGGGGGAATCCAGGCATTTCCTTTGTCTCCACACAGCAGTTTGCTGGACCCAGCCAGCATCATGTGCTATTCTCACTCTTCTGGCCCCTTCCGCCTTCTTTTCCACAAGGAAACTTTCCTGAGGGTTGTTCGGCCCCAGCAGCTTTCTCCAGCACAGGGTGGGCGCATCCCGGGAGTGTCACAGCCGGATGTGAGCACAGCTGCTGGCATGACCGCAGGCAGGGCACTGATAACAGGACAGAGAGGAAGGTGACAAAGCTTCGATTTTACTCTCTATTTTTCCAACCTTTGGCAATCATCTGTTGCTAACTGCAGTTATTTATGGAGATGAAGCCATGTTGTAGTTGAGTAGATGGCTCTGGGAGGTCAGTGTAGGAGGCAGTGGGTGTGACCAGATTCTGGAGGGCTGGGCAGAAGATTTCAGACTTGTTCTCGTAGGCTGCAGAGCCAGTCAGCCAGGGAAGCAGACACACACTTCAGCATGATTGACCTGGTGTGCCTGCAGGATGATCTGGGGAAGCAGGAAGTGATTACACCTAAGGGGCCTCTGTCCGCATTGTTACCCAGGGTGGTGGGTGGGAGAACTTGGAGGAGGGTGCTGCTGCCCAGAGCAGTGGGGTTCTCTTTGTTCTCCAGATGAGATAGCCTGTCTTTCCCTCCTCTAAAAAGTTCAAAATCTGCATCCTGGTCATAGAGATACAAGTTTGGCCAGCACATAAGCAAATGTAAAAACCAGAACAGGTTGCCTGGCCAGTGTGGCTCAGTGATTGAGCATCAACCCATGCACCAAGAGGTTGCTGGTTCGATTCCCTATCAGGGCACATGCCCAGGTTGTGGGCCCAATCCCCAGTGGGGGGCATGCAGGAGGCAGCCAACTGATGTTCTCTCTCATCGATGTTTCTATCTCTCTCTCTCCCTTCCTCTCTTTCTCTAAAACCAATAAAGAAAAAAATATTAAAAGAAAGAAAAGAAAAAAATATTTTTAAAAAACCCCAGAAGAGATTGAAAGAGTGAAGTCCGTATGCCTGGCTCAGGAAACAGGCTCTTGGACGTTCATGGTTATAAATATTAGTTAATGCTGTGAATTGCAATTAGGAAGTTTTTTCTCCACTATCTTCATTGGAGGCCAATTTCCGGCAGTGTATGGAGCCCCCCTGTAAGCTGAGAGGGCCAGGAGGGCAAAGGGGGTTTGTGTGGGCTCGAGCCTCAGACACGCATGGCTTCATGTTCCAGTTCTGCCCTAGAATGGCTGTGTGAGCAGACAGATCACTGACCCCCTCCAGTCTCAGGTTTCTCACCTACGAAATGGAAATTCCAACAGTTCGTACCTCAGTGGCAGTGGGAGGATGAAATGAGACATTGCAGGGAAAGTGTTACCTAGCTAATCTGTGCAGAGGTTAGCTTGGTGCCAGGCACGTAGTAAGTGCTCATTAAATATTTCCTCCTGTCATCATCCCACTGGCGAGGCCATGTCGGGAAGTGGTCAGAGGGTGGTTTTTAGTAAGTGCCTTCCACCCGGCCTTTTGCGGGATGCTCAGGAGCAGTGGGCCAACTGTGGCTGAGCTTAGACTCTGGCCTGTCTCCCTCAAAACTGCAGCACAGGTGAGACTGAAAATCCCTCATCTTAGAGTGACTCAGAGACACCTCAGTTTATGCATGAGTGAGTGCTTCTGGAAGTTCTCAGCCCAGCTTCCTCCTCCTCCGATTCGGGCCAGTTCCTGCCTGTCCTGCTGCCCGGGCTGCCTATCAGCCCAGGTCCCCAAAGCCCAGGGCCATGGTCCTCACGCAGATGACTTTAGTTGTTAAAAGCCACTTGGGAACTTAATTTTGGTTGATGAGCACTCAATCTGACATTTCTTCTCATCTTCTTGACAGTACCTGAACCAGTTTGAGAACTGCTGTGGCCTACGGGAAGGATCCATCCTCACCTTGCTGAGTGACATTGGTAAATCCCAGCCCTGGAAGTGAGGCCGAGCCCTCCAGGGAGAGTATGTGGTGCCCCTGTGAGTCCTTGTGGAGCACAGGGGAGATAATTTGGTCCTCTGATCTTTACAGAGGGTTGGGTTGAGGGGTTCCCCACAGACAAGGTGGGGAGGTCAACAAGGGGCTAGTCAGACAGGCACTGAACTCAAATAGATTTCTTTTCCTTCCGGACTAAGTCATGAAGTGAATTATGCTGTATATAGAGTAACAGATTTCCTTTCCCATTACAAATGTCCCCTCCCTGCTTTCCTGGAATGGCCAGCAATAGGGTAGGTTGTCATTTGAATGAATTTCATCCTTTGGCAACGAATTTTCCACTTCCACATTGGCAGCTCTTTTGCTAACCATAGGCGTAGGAAAAACTGCCCTTGTTTAATCCTTTGGTACTGTTGGTGCCCTATGATGAAGGCATCTGTGACGCTCTCTGCGAAGACCAGGCTGGCTTTGGAGATAAGAGTGACCTTAGACTGTAAAGGTCAGAAGCAATCCCCTAGACCCTGCTCCAGGAGAGAACTTGGAGGGGGAGCTCCCCAAGTCAGCACATGGCTCCAGCCTAGGGAAACAGACATCAGGAGTGAGAGAGGGGATTCCCAGGTATTGTTAAAGAAAAATTATTTTTAATCTCCAAGGTTGTTGGTACAAGTTGACTGAGATCTAAAGTTTAGAGTGATCCAAATTTATCAGAGTGTTGCCCTGGGATTTGGGGAGTGATATACCATTTTCATCCCTTTCTCACTGCAACCTTTTTGAAGGTGAATTTTGTTTGCTCACACTTTATTTTTTAGAAAAACATCAAACATATTGAAAAGTTGAAAGAGTAATAGAGTGAAACCCACATACCCATCACAGGTTCACAAGTTGTTAGCATTTTGCCACAAGCTGGGTTCTTCTAAGTCGGCTTGGAAAGGTAGGTGGACCTCCAGTCTCTAGGACACTCTGCTTCTTCTATAATCTGTGTCACTTTTTAAAAAAATTATTTTTTAAAATATATTTTTTAGTGCTGGCTGGTGTGCTCAGTGGTTAGAGTGACATCCCATGCACCAAAGAGTCTCAAATTTGATTCCTGGTCAAGAGCACCACCCTGGGTTGCAGGAGGCAACCAATTGATGTATCTCTCCCACATCGGTGTTTCTCTCTTCTCTCTCACCCTCTCCCTCTCTCCCTCTCTCTTCCCTTCCCTCTCTCCCTTCCACACTCTTAAAAAATCAATGAGCCCTGGCCAGTTTGGCTCAGCGGTTAGAGCGTCGGCCTGCGGTCCGGAGAGACCCGGGTTCGGTACCCGCTAAGGGCACGTACTTCGGTTGCAGTTTGTCCCCGGCCCTGGTTGGTCGTGCGGGTGGCAGCCACTCGATGTGTCCCTTCACATCGATGTTTCTCTCTCTCTCTCCCTTCCTCTCTCTCCCTCCCACTTTATCTGTACAAAAAATGGAAAAATATCCTCGGGTGAGGATAAAAAAAATAATAAAAATAAAAAAAATCAATGAAAAAAAATGTCCTCAGGCAAGAAGTAATAAAAATGGATTTTTAGAAAGAGAAAGAGAGACATTGGTGTGAGAGTGAAACATCAGTTGGCTGCCTCCTGCATACCCCCTACCAGGGATTGAGCCCAAAACCTGGGCATGTGCCCTGACTGGTAATTGAACCGGCAACCTTTTGGTGCATGGGATGACGCCCAGCCGAGCCACACTGGCCAGGGAACTCTGTGACACTTTTGATGAAAGGTGGGCAAGAAGGGAATGAAGTAGGGCAAAATCAAGTAATGACATATTTAAGGTTAGAAGCCAGTCTGACAGAAAATTCTGTCTCCCTCTCTATCCTGTGTCTTTCTTTTGAATGGAGTTCACAATGAGGGCAGTTTGACACTGCACCAATATGACCTGACTGGGGTGGGCATTCATTTGGCCAGACTGATTCCTTCATGCACTGGCCCATGTGGGTCTACTGGAAGGGTCCTGTCTACCTAGAAGGTCTAATCCATAGGTCAAGGATCTCACCTGTTTTTCTGACATCTTGCCACATGGCTTGCCCATGTGCATTTTCTCAGACGTTTACTTTATTGTATTTTCCCCAGTGGCCAGATCATTAATGTATTCTCTGTTGAGTTGGGTTGAAAGCTGGTTAATAGGTTGGGGAATATTATGTTGTTCCTCATGGGAAACTTTTATTTTGTTTCTCCCTAGTTAGAGCTTCAAGTCATTTTTTAAAATGTTATCCTTGCCAATATTTTTTTCTTTCACTCATTTGTGCACTCAGCAAATGGTTGTTAAAAAAAGTCTTAAGTTAATGGCTTAGGAGCACACAACTGTTTACTTCCTCATATAACCTTTTACTTCCTCAAGTGATTCTCTGGTGATATTAACAGAGCTTCTTCTGGTTGTGTATTCTTCGGTCTGGGCATGTTGTATCCAGTTACCACTGACTCGTGGGGTAGCTTTTGTATTATTTATTACCTATTCAAGTTGTATGCGTGCGTGTAAGTTATACATAAATCAGAATAACCAAGACAAGTTGTTGTTCAGTTCTCTTACAGGCAGAAGAATATTAAAATTCTTTAGTTCACTGATTCTCTATCTTTTCTCTCTGTGACCCCAAGTTAGAAATAATGAGGCTTTGAAGCATTCATACACTGGAATTAAATTCTCAAAGGTGGAGACTTTAGTCCTTACTGTATCTTCAGTATCTGGAACAGTAGTACTTTATGTAGCAGCTTCTCTATAAATATTTGTCAAACAAATGAAATAAATCCCAAGGAAAATTAAAATAAGTAAGGACCTATGAAAAGGGAACATATTACATATATGTAACACTCCCAGGTCTGATACCAGCTCTTCCACTTGGTGGTGGTTGTAACCTTAGGCATGTTACTTAATTTGTAAGGAGATCAATTTCATTAGCTGTGAAATTGGACCATTACTTACTTTATTAGAATTATTATGAGGATAAAATGAGCTGATGTACATAAGGCTCCTGGCAGAATGTGCAGTCAGCAAGTGTTAGTTCCTTTCTCATTTCCTTTCCTCTCTGGATTTGGATTTACAGCGTCCCTTTTGAAAACTTCCGTCACCTTAATTTGGGTGTTGACCTGAGATGGGGATCCAGTGAGCCAGGCAGGTGGTTGTCTATGAGACTTCCCTTTCTCAGACCCATTCCTATCTCAGCCACCTTTTGTATGCAATTACAAGCTCTGACTTTGTGGTTGTGGTGGAGGTGGCTGATAAACTTGAATTTTACTTTTATTCCCATTGTGTACAAGGTTCATTAAATTTATTTCTTTTGCAAGGATTTTGTCACTGAGCCAGAGTTCAAAAGCTCTTTTTGGAGTTCATCTCACATAACTGTTTTGTATTCTGCAACATTTCCGGAGCATATTTTGTTCCAGTTTGTTTCAAGTGCTGGCGCCACATTCTCTTTGTTGGAGTTGCCACTCTGTTCTCTGCCAGGTTGATTTCAGATAAGTGGCAGAGCCACACCCTTGCCTGCTGGGTCCAGATTCATTGCCTTCTCTTTCGGTTAAACCTGTTTACCCCCATATTTTCTGTGCCACTGACCTTCCAGAGATGCTCACTCAGAGTAGTACCAAGATAATAGACACAGGTCAGATTTTTCCAGTGAACTTTAAATTGCTCAAGAAGATATTGCTGTGTACAGGTGCCTGGCAAACACGTGGTTGAGCCCCGTTTCCTCTGCCAGGACAGGCCTGTTAGACCATTGTTTTATGCTGGTAAGAGATCTGGAGACAGGTGTAGAGGCAGCTGGAAATTATTCATCTTCCAATTAATGTAATCCTAAAATAGCTCAAGAAAGTTGTATCTAAAATGGACTCTATTGAAACAGCCTTGCTCATTGTTCTTTGGAAAACATTGGCATGTGTTTCCTTCTGCCAGCAGAGGAGCAGACTCCTGGGCACTCGAGATTGAGGTAGATTACTATACTCTGTAGTCCCATGTCTCTGCTCTCTGAGGGGTGGGGACCTGCCCATGCAGGCCCAGCTGGGTGGGCCAGTTGTGCATTTGCCAGGGCCTTATCGGATCTTAGATCTGACTCAGTCTTCCTTGATTCTTCAGGTGGCTGGTTGATAGTGGTGACTGACCATCCTGTCCTCTGAGCCTTTAGGAACTTCACTCCCCATTTTTGTCTGTGCTTCATTCTTTGAGTCACCGTCTCTGTACCTATGGAGCTGCTCCTAGCAGGCATCCAGTACATTAACATTAAAGAGCAGAGAGGATTTCAAGAGAACACAGGGCTTTAGGGAAGAGAGCTCCATTCTAGAAATCAGACATTGGGCTCTCTATGTAGTATTTCTCTCACTGAGGATTTATAACAAAAGAGGGTCACCTGATCTCAGAAAATCAGATAATTTGTGTATAAGTATGTTAGAAAGCATAAGTAACCAGGTTAATGAATATGATAAAAGAGAAGACAACTAGCTTTCAGTTCCGGCTTCTCTACTTTCCCAGCTCTGTCTCTTTGTGCAAGGACCTTTTTGGTCTATTTATCTTTCCATTTCCTCTTTATGGAAAACTATGGTAACTTTCTGGGCCTTCCAAAATAATTAAAAAAAAAAAAAAAAGAGGGATCTGGGCTAAGTTTTTATTGATTTTAGAGATAGGAAAGGAGAGGGAGAGAAAAACATCAACCAGCTGCCTCTTGCATGTTCCCTACTGGGGATTGAGCCCACAAACCGGGCATGTGCCCTATCTGGGATTTGAACTGGTGACCTCTCGTTGCATGGGACAGTATTCAACCACTGAGCCACGCCAGCCAGGGCACCCCAGAATGCCTTGATGTTCACTCCATTGTTCCATCCTGACTGCTTCCTAGTTTCTCTCCCCTTTCCCTTAATGCAACATCTTTTGCCCAGAGCTTTGCTTGATGCATTTTGTATTTCTGCTCCACCCTGTTCGTCCCTGGACTGACCACCAGTATTGTGTCTGCCAGGCCATTCTCATGACATATGTATCA